CCCCCGGGGGTCCTTCATTCCTCCCCAATAAACTGGTGCCGTTCCGTGAACTCTCGCTCTCGTTTTGCCCCTGTAGCTGGAGGGCGACCTCCCCCCTTCTGCCCCCCAACAACTGCCCCCCCCAGAGTCCCTCCTGCAATAAACCAGTGCTGAGGGGGCCGGGTGTCTGTCTGGGTGTCTGTGGATGGGGATGGGTGTCTGGGTGTCTGTCTGGGTGGCGTTCATGGGGTGCAGGACACCTCCAGAGGCTCCTGTATCGGTCAGGAGCTCTCTCAGGCACCCAGAGCCCAGGCCCTGCTCCCACATCAGAGCCAGGACAGAAACTGGTGCTGGGCACCACCTGCACATGGAATCAGTGGGTTGTTTGATGGGTTTGGGTTTAAAATGTCTTTTTTTCTTCATTTCCTATTTTTAAGTTTTAGTTTTAAACATTTATTTCCATTTTTTATCCTTTTTTAACCTTTTTTGCTTGTTCTTTGCCAGGGATCAGAGTGGGCTTCGTGCTGCAGGGGCAGGGGGTGGCAATGTCACACTTGGCACCTCGGCCAGAGCAGGGGTGTGTGCAGGGGGTCTGGGATGGGACCGCGAGGGATGAAGGTTCTGGCACAAGGTAGAAATCCCCCATCAGAGCATCACCCGTTGGATCATCCATTGGAATTCAATCCAAATGAAATCCAAAGAGGTCCCAGTTACCTTTCATATAAGGGGGGGGGGGTGTGGTATTACTCAGTCCCAAATCCCTCTGGTCTGTGGGCTCAGCATGTGCGTCCCAATTGTTCTTTTCCCTAAAACTCCAGGAATTGAGGGAAAAACGAGGCACCGGAACCAAGCTGGGATCAGAGGCCGGTACTTTGAAACCCCCCAGGACCAATGGCCATGGGATCCCCATGGGATGCTCGGGAAGGTTGGAGACATCAGGAGGCAGCAGCAGGATTTAGGGAAGGTTTTATTACACTTTAGGGAAAAGGAATTGGAGAACTGCAGGTTTGAAGGGAAAGGAGCAGGTTCAGGAGGATGAGGCCGGGAAACCCCGGATGGGTCCTTCCCTTGGAGCACTGGGAAGCTGATGCCTTGGTTTGCCATTTAATTGTGCCTTAAAAATCAAACCCAAACCACCACCAAACAGCTTCAACTCCCCCTGAAATCAGTGTTGGAGCTTTGGAACAGCTGCAGGGATTTAACTCAGTGGTGAAGGAGCAACCACTTTGCTTCAGCAAGACCAAACCATGATAAGATGCCCCATAAATGCTGATCCCTCCACGTTAATCATAGAATCATGGAATGGTTTGGCTTGGAAAGGACCTTAAGATCCAGCTCCAACCCCTGCCATGGGCAGGGACACCTTCCACTAGAGCAGGTTGCTGAAATGAGGTGCAGAACATCAGAACAAAGCACGGTGAGAGCAAACCAACCTCTTCCCATTGGAATTACTGAATCCCCCCAGCCCAGCCACCTTCATTTCCCTCATCTTCTTCTATTACAGATGAATAGCAGAGAATCTCGATGAGTTTACAAATGATTGATTCACTTTTAAATGGCCACGTTGGCTGTTTGGGATGGTTTACACCAGCAGTGGGGGTGCAGCGGGGAAGGGGATGCTTTGGGGCTCCTCCTTCAGGTACCTCTTTGTGGAGCTGCTGAACAGGAGAGAAAAGGTGGGGATAAACCATCTCAAAGGGGGTTTTCACTTGGGATGGGGCTCATGGAGCGGTGCTGGGTCATTGCCCAGCATCTTCCCCTCTCCCCT